GTCCACACGATTTCTTCTTCATGCAGCAAAAATATCGAACCGCGAAAACATCAAAAATACACGTGTAGATTTCGGCCTCTGGGGTCCCTCGCCTGGCTCTGGTCAAAAATCGGTTTGAGATGAAAACGTGATCTGGGGATTGAGTCGAAACTTCTGGGGGTCGGCATGATGAACAAATTATGACGCCAGGGTCCAGTGTGGATGGGGGTTCAGCTCACCAACGGTCAGACTTTACCAGCCTGCGTTTCTTCCTTGACTTCGGCGCCCGGGTGCCGCTCTCAGGCCCTGGGGCCATCAGAAACGGACCCAAGACGCAAAACTGCCCCAGCGGAAGCGAGTGGGAAACCCTGGGGCTGCGGACGGCAACAACAATGAAACGATGTTAGGGGGCTCGCGACCGGACGACCGGGCGGGGCGACTGGTGGGGAAGCCGCTATTCCCTGGACCCCTCCCGGGGCGAGTTCAGACCCAAACTTCAAGGCGAGCCCGGCCGCGGCGACAAGGGCCTCCCAGGAAAGCCGGCAAGGGTAGCGGCTTCGGCGCGGGCGACGGACGAGCGGACGAAGAGATGTCATGGACGCCATTTCCCAACAAGTTTCCTCGCTGCACCGAGTGGAAGCACGCGGTGTAGGCAAGATGCGACGAGCTTTTGCTCGAGCACGCGCGGGCCGGCGCGCGGCCCTGGTCGTCGCGCGGTGGCGCCCCGTGGCACGATTCCACGGGGACCGGCGCGGCTCGCATGCACCTGGTCCCCACGGGCGTCCCAACAGCAGCTCCAACGGCGCAGCCATGAGCAGCAGCGAAGACCCAGATTTCAGTCCACAGCGCAGGCCACTCGCACACCGCCAAGAACGCCAGGCACACAATCTCTGTCCCTGGCGAGCATGACACCGCGCGGCGGAACGCAAGTGCTCAGCAATTGCGCGGGGGGTGGCCCGCGCCGACCAACTGGGCGACAGTGCCAACGTCGTCATGATCGCAACGAAGTAAGGTAGACGTCCTGGTGGCTCCCACTCGCGAAAACACTTGCTAATCGCTGGTGGGCCGCTGGTGGGGCGCGGTCGACGCTGCTGAAGCGCTGGCGCACGATGGCAACGGCAGCTGTGGCGGTCCGCGGGCGGGGTGCGCGTCGACGCTGCTGGGGGGCCGGCTGGCGCCGCTGGCGCTGGCGGCGGTCGCTGCCGACGCGGCTGGGTTGCTGGTCAACGCGCGCAACGGTGGTGGCGGCGCGGGTTCGTGACGCTGCCGTGTAAAAATGGGCGGCGCCAGCGGTGCCGTCGACGGTCAGCTGGCGGGGTGCCCGGCGGCGCCGGTAAAAAATAAAATCTGGTGGGTTACGTCAGTTTTTGTGGTGGCAACCGGCGCACGCGGAGCGTTGGTGGGTGCCGGCGACGTTGGCGGCGGCGGTCACCTGGCGGGGTTTGTCGACTCCGATGGAAATATTGTGAATGATGTGGCGCTGGCGGCGGTGGTCGACGACACTGACGCTGCAGCGCGGGCCCGCGCGGGCCCGCGCTGGTGGAGCGAGGGCGGCGGTGCGCCGTGCATGTGGAACGCCAGCAGCATTGATCGCGCACGTTTTCTGGGCGTTGGACGGCGCCGCCGCCACGTCTTCTGGGTGCTGGTCGAGTCGGCCAGGGCGTTGGATGGCGCCGCTGGCGCGGCGGCGGTTCTGAGCCTGGATTGCCACGGGCGCGAGGGGGGGGGCGGGGGTGGGGGCGCGGGCGGAGGGAAGAGAGGAGGGAGAAAGGACGGGAAAAATGTAGACGGTGAGGGTGAAGGACAACGGGGGGGCAATGGCAGGAGAGCGAAAGAAGGAGGGGAAAGGAGGGAGGGCGCACGGGGAGGGAACGATCTGGGGCGCGCAACGCTGTCGACTGAGCGCTTGCCTGGGTCGGACAAGCGCCTGGGCTGGGCCCGCGGGTTGGCGGGCGGAGAGGAGACCCGCATTTTCAATCAATCTTACCACTGTGGCCCGAATCACTTTCAACCCACTGGCCCAGCGCATGCGGGCCGGCCAAACCGGCCTCGGCTATCTTGTCGCGGCGATGTCAGATCGTCTTGATCCGTCGGCCTGACCCTTGCGGGCAGGGTGGACACAGCCCCGATCGGGTCAGCCTGCTCCTGCGGCATCGGACCATCCTGCCTATTATGGTTTGCTTTGCAGGGGAGCCCGGGCGCATGTGCATTTTGAGGGACTCTCATGATGTCAGCATTTGTTTTTGAATTGTTGGGCCCTCGAATTTTCATTTTTGCCAACCGCGGCCACCGAACGCATGTGATTTCATCATCATAAGTTGAAAATAAAGTAGCGGCGTGACCGCCAGCGCGCTTCCATCGCATTCGGGCAAGCGCGACACGCGGAAAAAACAAAAAAATGTTTGGCCAGCGTTGTAGAGCGCAACAAAAACACTTTCGGGCAAGCCCCGCGCGCATTGCGAGCATGATTAGTTGAATCTAAGACGGCAAGGACCCCCCCCGCTCAAAAGAACACGCGCACACGTTGAGGGGCCTCTATCCCATCTTGCGCATAAGGCGCGCGGGGCAAATTTCATGGCGTCTCGCTCCGCTACCAGAAAACGCGACGCGGCCACCTGGGAATGCAAACTCTTGCATGTCGGCGCCGCGCCGACCACCCAAGCCCCGGTCACGCCAGCCAAACGAGGGCCAACCGACCAATCAACCAACCAACCAACCAACTATTCAGCCAAACAGCAGGCACGCCAGCAAAGATAAGGCTTAATCAACGGGCCAACCAACCAACCAACCAACCAGCCATGGGCCAACGCAGGCGGACGGGGAGCGCATTCCATTAGTAATAAAAAGGCAAGGGTGGGCGAGAGGGAAGGCAGGGCGGCGACGATGGCGGCGGCGGCGAAAGCGGGAGGGGGGAGGAAGTAAGTTGGGAAAGCAAGTTAGGAGAGAACGGTCACCCAACCAGCCAGCCAGCCACCAGCCAACCCACCAATCCAACCAACGAGCCCACGCTTTCGGCCGAGACATCCTCGCAACAATGAGGGCGCGCAGGAGAAGGCGGAGGGCGTGCACTCATGATGACAATGGCCAAGTGAGGAGGAGAGGGGAGTCGCTGGGAGGATGAAGAGGACGACGACGGCGGCGACGGCGATGACAGCAACAGCGACGACGACAACAACGACGACGACGACGACGACGATGTCTTCCACAGCCAGCGGAGGTCAGGAGCGGCTGCGGGCACCACCTCCTCCTCATCCTCGTCCTCTGCCCCCTCGTTTCCGTAACCATTATGGCTCGAGATGTTGAGTTCCCCTGGGAGCAGAGAGGATACCGGTATTCCGCGGCTTGTTCCAACGAGTTACACCCCTGTCGGGGAGTTTGTGCTGTCATGGCCCACGCCTTCCTGGTGGCCTGGTTGCTCGCTTCTTCCTTTCGGCAGGGGCAAAGGCGCCTGGGCCGCGAGACGGGGAGAAACCATACTGGGCGCGCGTGTGACAGCCTAATGTCTGTCTCCTTCGCATTATCATCGCCGTCCTCGTCGCCACCGTCGTCGTTTTCATCGCTCGAACAGTCGCCGCCCAAAGTGCTGGACTGGCGCGGTGGAGGGGCTTGCTTCTGGCAGCTGGGCGCAATGCGAAACGCACTCGGCGAGGCGCACGCGGCGCTCTCTTCAGAAGACTCGCCCACTTCGTTTGGCTGTGCAACGCGAATCCCCGCGCAAACAGCGCGTGACATCGAAGCCTCGCTGTTAAAATGTGCGCTCGTGCGTTCGCGTGTTTCGCGCTGCGCGGTGCGAAACAAAACTCGCGCAGACAAGCGCACGCTCGCGTGCTCCGCGGCAACGAGCCGTTGGCGCCGCGGGCCATAAAACGAGCCACGCGTCGCGGGACCCAAGGGGAACCGCGCTGTCGGCGAGCGATGGTGCACGCAGAACTCAGGAAATCAAAACCGCCCCTCCGTCGCAAATCTGAAGTCGATCTTCGTTGTTCTACCATGTGGGCCGAGGTCGCAGACGGACGGCATCGCAAGACCGAGGCCGAAGACTAATACCGAGGCCAAAAACCAACTTGCATCGCAAGACACAACTGCAAAACCAAGGCCGAAGACCGACGCCCTGGGGCACTGGTCGAAGCCGGCAACCGCGCCTAACCCATCGGACAACCCACCCCGAATACCGACGTATATGCAGTAGTGAAGAACAAACGCACTTTCAAGTGCACACCAACAGCTACGAATCTGGAGCCACAGCTTAACCCAAACAAAATTCAAAACAACAAATGGACCCCAAAAACCTTCACACCAAAACGAAAATCGATTTCCGTTTTAATCGCTTTCCCTGCCCCTTCTGGGGCCAATCCTACAGACGACCCGGTTCTCTGACCCCCCGACAAACCCAAATCATCATCATCATCATCATCATCATCATCATCATCATCATCATCATCATCATCATCATCATCATCATCATCATCATCATCAATATCATCATCATCATCATCAACATCAACATCAACATCAACATCAGCATCAGCATCGTCATCATCAGTGCCAGCATCAGCATATCATCGTCGTCACCATCCTCGTCATCATCCCGAGAGGCAAGCGCAGCCATGCCCTGGCAGGACACGGCGGCGGCCGTGGCGAGCCAACCCTGCCGATGCGCTGACGGCGGGAAGGCAGGATCGCAGGGCGGCTCCTCGTCGAGCGAGTACTCCTCCTTGGACGGGCGGTGGTGTGGACGGAGAAACCGCGAGCGCGGCGTGGCATCACCACCACCATCCTCCTCATCACCAGCACCATCACCAGCACCATCACACCACTCCATGACCTGGGAATGCTGATCCGTCTGCTGCTGCTGCTCATCCTCCGTCTCATGCTCGTTCTCCTCTTCTCTGTTGTCAGGTCCATGGCAAGCATCATCCAGTTGATCCTCCTCGTGTGTTTCCTCATCGCGGGAGGGGAGGATGCCGGAAAGAGAGAAAGGGAAGGAGGAGCAGGGAGAGCAGGAGCACGAGAAGGAGGAGTCATCGAAGAGCAGGCAGCGGGAGCAGCAGGAGCAGGCCGCGCCAAGAGCGTCGTGCCCCGGGCGGGCCTGTGAGTCTGTTGATCCCCTCGGGCCCCCCTCCTCGCAATCCCCGTTTTGGGGGGAACGGTGAGGGAGGAGAGACAGCCGCAGCATCGATGGGCTGGCTTCAAGAGTCCCGGCCCCAAGGCCGCAGGCGCAGGCGGGCGGGGGAAGCACGCACGGCCTCTCCCGGCACAAGAGTGGGGCACGGCGGTGCTGCACGGCGGCCTGGCCCCGCGCGGCACGCACGCCGCAGAAAAACTGCCGCCCGGGCGAGCTCCGAGAATCTGTACATGCCGGCCGCCACGTCCGTGGTCGTCTCAGCCCGAGCTCACCCGCGCGGCGCGAGCCTTGCCCAAGGCAGGGTCTGGACGCGATCGCCCGAAGTCCTCCCGTCCGTGCCTGTGCCGCGCGGAAGGTGTGCCGTTGACACGGCGGTAGCAAAGACGAGGCCCCCAAGGCCTGCGCCCACGCGTCCGCTGGCCCTACGCCGACAGCAGGGGCTCCCGCGCCGCGCACGGCCGGAGCTTCCGGCCGGCGGCCACGAGCGCCCAGACGCAGCCCGCCCCGAGGGTCAGCGCCGCAAGGGTCACGGCGTCGGAGAGGCCCCAGGCGCAGCCCTCGTCAGCCCTGGCCTTGGGCTCTCTCGGCTCCTCCGTGAGCTCCGAGGTCAGGGCGCACATGCACATCTCCGTGAGGTCGCCACCCTGCAGCTCCCCGTACACCATGCAATTCGCGCAGCTCTCTGGGCAGCAGAGCTCCATCCCAGCAGTCTGCGCGGCACCTGGCCGCCCGCGGCACACGCTGCCCATTTCGCAACCCATCGCCTTCACCTGGGGCTTTGGCTGCTCCGTTGTCGTTGCTTCGAGCGCGCTGCAGACGCAGGTCGCCGTGAGCTCGTTGCCGCTCTGCGACGTGGAGGCGGAGCACTCCGCGCAGCCTTCTTGGCAGCAGACCGTAACGCCGTTGGACTGCGCCGCGTCCGGGCGCCCGCTGCAGACGTCTCCCTGGTCACAGCCGTGGACGAAGACCTTCTGCGGCTTCTCCGTCTTCATGGGCTCGAAGTGCATGGGCTTCATCGGCTTGAAGTGCATAGGCTGCATGGGTTTCATCGGCTTGAAATCCATGGGCTTCTCCTCACTGCTTTCCTGCATCTGCTGCTGGTGGCCACCGTCCGCGAGCGCGCTGCAGACGCAGGTCGCCGTGAGCTCGTTGCCGCTCTGCGACGTGGAGGCGGAGCACTCCGCGCAGCCTTCTTGGCAGCAGACCGTAACGCCGTTGGACTGCGCCGCGTCCGGGCGCCCGCTGCAGACGTCTCCTTGGTCGCAACCGTGGACGAAGACCTTCTGCGGCTTCTCCGTCTTCATGGGCTCGAAGTGCATCTTCTTGAAGTGCATGGGCTGCATCGGCTTGAAGTGCATCGGCCCCTCGCTCTCCGACTGCGCCTGCTGGCCGCCTCCTGCGCACAGCGACCCGAGCCCGGTGCACTGTGACCCTGGGCCGCACTGGCTGCCGATGCCGGAGCAGATGGAGTTCGCGCCACACGTGCTGCTGGAGCCGGAGCACTCGGAGCGGTCCCCACAGCGGGTGTCCATGCCCGAGCACCGCGCATCGTCGCCGCAGGTCTCCCCCATGCCCCAGCACTCCTGACTCAAGGCGTGAGGGTCGTCTAAATGATACCCCACCCCCACTGGGGCCACAGAAACTGAAAATAATTGGGTCATTGTTTTGGAAACCGAAATTGGCATCAGCTCTAGGCGCCCAAGGGGCCCCTTGAATGAGCCCTGGGAAAGACCCGACAACACCCAGCGCCCTCCTCCCGCCCTCCCCTGCCCTCCCTTTACCTTCTCTCCCTCCCTCGCTTGCCCCCACCTGCAACGTGTTGGGCTGTCTGTGGGCCCGCCTGGAATGGCGCCCCGAAAATGCCGGCCAGCGCGATATATTTATTGTGGCGCCGCGGGGGGAGGGGTAGAACTATGCCACGAAAAAGGCCTGATTATATACCCCCCACGCACGAATATAACCCACCCGCGGAAGGATAAGTTCGAAGGCGGCGCGGACGCTGGTCGTGGACTGCTCCGCCTGGAGAGCCCAGGCACTCCGAAATGTTCAGGAAGGACTGGGCAGAACGAAATATATGTCCTCGCATTACGAGATGCACTTGTCATGTGACGCGCGGGGGGAAATAATCGCATTTCGCTGTGTCAAGGCACAGGGAACCGAAATACGACTTGCAGAATGATAGAATCCACCCCGAAAACGTACATGCCCAGGGGTGGGCGTCATATCTCGGACCCGGAGGCGTGTCTATTCGGCGTCTGCTCATACCTGTCTGCGAGCGCACGAGCGAGACTTGATGGATAGGAGTACGTAGATTGCGCAGGGATTCTATGACGAATGTCCTGGCCAGAGGCAGCTGCGACGTAGCAGCACGCCGCGCAAAGGACGAGGGGCAGGGACCTTGTCGTCATGATGGGCCCTGACAGCTCGTGACTCGTCAGCGCTTGAGCCAAAACCGGCTTGAGCCAGAATATCTACGGAAACGGATGCCCCCAGTCTTGCTCCTATACTTCCCTGGTCACCCCTGACTATCCTGGGCATCGTTTCTGGATGGGCAGGTGGGGATACTTTTGGTTCGCAGGCACGCGAAGCGGGTCGGACACCGGGCAAGCAGGGGCAGGCCGGTTAGGATATTTTTGGGTCGCGGCCGCAAGCGAAGCCGCAGGCGGCGTCAGAAGTCGTCCCAGGCTACGGGCGAAACCTAATGAATCAGCGAGCGCCAGAGCTGCCGCCGAGGGACGTCGATTGGGATATTTTTTTTTATATTTTTCTTACAGCCGCAGGCGGAAGCGCCGGCGGCGAGCAGTCACGGTCGGGCTGCGGCCGCGACTAAATGCCCGGGCGCGCGCGGGGCCGCGGATCAGGCGGCAAAGCAGCGGCAACCCAGGGCGTCTGAGAGGCCAGGCGGTCGTGCAATCCCAAGGAGTCTGAAAGGTCAGTCACTTGAGGCGGTCGTGCAAGCTGCAACCCAGGGAGTCTGAGAATTCAGCCATCCGGGCGAGCCAGGCGCGGCCAAAATGGCGCGCAGTGCGTTCCAGGCCGTGATCGTGTCGAGACAACCGCGGGGTAGGGAACGATCTCCGTGCGGGAAAGTCAATCCAGGGAGTCTGACGGGTATGAGCAGACAGAAACTGGTGACGTCGTCCAGCAGGAGGTGATTCTGACAGCGCCAGCGAACCGTCGCAGCATCAGAAACGCATCCACGCAAGGGGAAGCCTAAGGCCGAGCAGGCAAAGGCAAGACCCAACCACTGCAGAGCGATGCGCCTGCGTTCAGAGGACCAGCGATCTAGTCTGGACGCAGCAGGGGTACAGTCGGTTGGGATACGCGAAGCGTCAAGCATCCAAGCCCAAACTTGCCCGGCTGTGTTGAAAAACACACACACACACACACACACACACAAAAAAAACAACTAATTCATTACCAATGATCCGCCACCGTGCCAATGGTTTTTTCCCAACCATCCTGTGGTGTTGGGTCCTCGTTTTGAAGAGACGGTGCCCCGCGTTCCCTCCTTCTCCTCCTCCCGCTGCCCCCTCCCTCCTCCCCCTCTTCCCTGCGTTTCACCCACCCAGTACAACGCTTCGTGGCTCCATAGGGAGCTCCACCGAAGGCCCCAGTGCCCGCGCCCGCATGCGTCACGCACACCCATTTCGGCACACCCCTCACACGTTTCGTGGCTCCATAGGGAGCTCCACCGAAGGCCCCAGTGCCCGCGCCCGCATGCGTCACCCACACCCATTTCGGCACACCCCTCACACGTTTCGTGGCTCCATAGGGAGCTCCACCGAAGGCCCCAGTGCCCGCGCCCGCATGCGTCACGCACAACACCGTTTCCCTCACACACGTTTCGTGGCCCCATCACCGTTGCCGGGGTTTCGTGTGCCCGCTCACCGAAGGCCCCAGTGCGCGCCCGCATGCGTCACCACACCCATTTCGGCACACCCCTCACACGTTTCGTGGCCCCATAGGGAGCTCCACCGAAGGCCCCAGTGCCCGCGCCCGCATGCGTCACCACACCCATTTCGGCACACCCCTCACACGTTTCGTGGCCCATAGGGAGCTCCACCGAAGGCCCCAGTGCCCGCGCCCGCATGCGTCACCCACACCCATTTCGGCACACCCCTCACACGTTTCGTGGCCCATAGGGAGCTCCACCGAAGGCCCCAGTGCCCGCGCCGCATGCGTCACCCACACCCATTTCGGCACACCCCTCACACGTTTCGTGGCTCCATAGGGAGCTCCGCCGAAGGCCCCAGTGCCCGCGCCCGCATGCGTCACGCACACCCAATTCGGCACACCCCTCACACGTTTCGTGGCTCCATAGGGAGCTCCACCGAAGGCCCCTGTGCCCGCGCCCGCATGCGTCACGCACACCCAATTCGGCACACCCCTCACACGTTTCGTGGCTCCATAGGGAGCTCCACCGAGGGCCCCAGTGCCCGCGCCCGCATGCGTCACGCACACCGATTTCGGCACACCCCTCACACGTTTCGTGGCCCCATAGGGCGCTCCACCGAAGGCCCAAGTGCCCGCGCCCGCATGCGTCACCCACACCCATTTCGGCACACCCCTCACACGTTTCGTGGCCCCATAGGGAGCTCCATCGAAGGTCCCAGTGCCCGCGCCCGCATGCGTCACTGGGGCACATCCCGGTACACCCCTCACACGCTTCGTGGCCCCATAGGGAGCTCCACCGAAGGCCCCAGTGGAGGCACTTACATGCGTCTCCGCCACCCATCCCGGCACACTCCCCGCATGTTTCGGGGCTCCATTGGGAGCTCCACTGGAGGCCCCAGTGGCGGCCCTCACATGCGTTTCCGCCACCCATGTCGGCACACCCCGCACGTGTTCCATGGCCCCATAGGGAGCTTCACCGAAAGCTCCAGTGGAACCCATCTCGGCACACCCCTCACACGTTCCGTGGTCCTATGGGGAGTTCCACTGAAGATGAAACCCACAACTGCGGTACTCACAACTGCATATGGTTGGGTTCTTCGCCAGGCTAATTTTGTGCACTGGTAGGAAGGGGTTGCCGAGATGTCAAGCACATCGCCACTCTCAACCGCTCAAGTGTCAGGCGAGAGGCCCGATTGCCACACGCTGTACTCTGATATCTGTCATCGGTGCGAAGCGACGAAGCGTTGCGGACGGCTCCCCACGAGAAGTAGTCGCATGTTCGCACCACGAGTCCCTCTCCATCGACATGCTTTGTATCCCATCGAAGCTAAATCCCACTAGCTCTCTGGTTATAGGAAGTTAAAGGGGTCGGCCATCCCTGCGCGACCCCTTCTGCCCTTCTGGAGTGAGGGTATCCCCCCCCGCCTCAACCCAGGGGTATGGCCGGGAAGGACCGCGAGGTGTCAGCGGGTCTGCTTGCGACCTAGATGGCACAAGGATGGCCCAAGATAGCCCTATGCAGTCAAGCTCCTGCCACAAGGAACGCTACATGAGTAATTCAGCCCCACGTTGGCCCGAAAAGCGCCCGGGCACACGAGGTGCGCTAGAGGACCAACCATGGAGGGACCTCAGGAGCAGCGAGCCCCTGTTCAATATTTCAACGCTTCAACTGAATGCGCCGACCCTGTCGGCATGTGTGAGGGGCTTGGCTGTTCGAATCGTCGTCTCCGTCAGTCCTCGTCTCCGTCGTCCCATTTCCCTGCACCCCTCCTCCTCAAGCCTGTCCGCGAGGGAACAGTCTAGCAATGCCGTAATGGAGTCGAAGGGAAGCCCCTTCCCTTTGATCCCTTCCCCGCGTCAGGGGGGGGGTCCACTGGGGGGGGGATCCTGGAGGGGTCCTGGGGGAGCTCGGGGAGGGTCCCGCGGGGGTCGCCACCCGGATACGTTTTCCCCCCCCCCGCCCCCCTGCCTTGCGGGCCTTCGGCCTCAGAAAATGCCAAGACAGGCCAAGCATGCCCCCAAGAGGCCGCCGAGACGGTCCAAGAAGGCCCCCAATCGCCAAACGATCGGTCCAAAACGCCTCCGCGCCCTCCAGACTGCCCCAGGAGGCCTCCAGGACGCCCGAAGACGCTTCCAAGAGCACTCCCGAGAGGGCCCCAAGAGGCCAACTTTATTGAGTTTTCAGGGGGTTCTGAAAGATTTGGGCGTTCTCGCCTTTTCCACTTCCCGCCGCTCCAAAACGGCGCCAGAGGCCCCCAAGATCTCCCCAAGAGGCCCCCACAGTAGCCCAAGAGGACCCCAAGACAACCCAAACCGCCTCCAAGACGGCCCCAGATGCTCCCAAGACGGCTCCAAGAGCGTGCCCAGACGGGGGACCCGAGCGGACATTTCGAGCCTTCGGCCCCAAGAGGCTCCCGTCCCAGGAAGCCCCAAGAGGTTCCCCAGAGGCTCCAAGCGGCCCTCAAGAGGTCCCCAGGAAGCCCTCAGAGGTCCCCAAGAGGTTCCCAAGAGGCCCCCGAGAGACTTCCGAAGAGACCCCAAGAACCATCCCTGAGGACTCTGGCCCACGTCAACGTCGTCGTCGTCGTTGCCGCCGCCGCCGCCTCCATTGTCGTCGTCGTCGTCGTCGTCGTCTCCCTTCAGGGTCGGCGGCACCGGCCGTGAGGCCTTGGCAATAGCATCCAACCCAAACCCCCGACGTCGTGATTTGTTCACGACGTCGACCCCGAAAGGTCTGGACCACTTCCCTGGGACCGGTTCTTCATCCTGAATAACTTGTCTGACGGCCCGGAGGCCCGGCAAAGGCACCCGGAGGCCGACCATGGCGAAAGACCTCCCGTCGTGTTCTTTTGCTTGCTTCAAAACGCGAGGGGGTCTGGGAAGGCGGCGCAATACCATCGTGTCGGCGGCGAGCGATCTTGCTTTGCCCCTGCGCGCGAGTGGCCGGAAGGCAAGGCGGCGCGCGGGGAGGGCGCGCGGGGATGGGCGCGCGGGGCGCGAACGAGGCAGCGCGGCGCTCCATGGCGCTGCACGCCTCACTCTTGCCCGCACTTGCGGGGGGCTGCGTACTCCAGCGTGGTTCAAGATAGCCTCCAGACCCAGACATGATCTCGTCGTGGAAAAAAAACGGTTGCTTCAAAAACAAAACACAATCCAGCCTCGGGGGGGGCATCGTCGGGCCTCGGGACCGTGAAAAAACGACTCACGAGGAAAAACCGGTCCTGGGGAACGGGTCGGGACTTCCTGGGACCCCGTACTGAAAAGATCAGGACGTCGCATGTCTGAGTCTGGGAGGGCAGGTCGGCCCAGCGGAGGCGGGCCACGGCCGGGGGAAGGAGGAGGAGGATGATGATGATGATGATGAGGAGGAGGAGGAGGAGGAGGAGGAGGAACCCAGGAGGAGGAGGAGAAGGAGGAGGAGGAGGAGGAGGAGGAGGGCGTCGGATCCCCTCTGGCCCTGCGCGCTGCAGGGGCAGGGACAAGAGCGGGAGGAGGAGGAGGAGGAGGAGGAGGAGGAGGAGGAGCAGGAGGAGGAGGAGGACGATAAGGATCAGGCTACTGGCGAACGCCTGCTCC